CCCTGCTCTCCTGTCCCTGCTCCCCAGAACCCCAGATCACCTCTCCTCCGTATGACACGTGGAACGTCACCGGGCAGGACGTCATCTTTGGCTGTGAGGTCTTTGCCTACCCCATGGCATCCATTGAGTGGAGGAAGGACGGCACGGAGATGCTGCTGCCTGGAGATGATCCCCACATCTCTGTCCAGGTGAGCGGTGTGCCTAGGGTGTTAGACATGGTCCCCGGGTGGCCCAGCCCTTGTCAGAGCTTGTGGGCAACCAGACCTGAGGGTGGTCGTACTCTGAGAGTGACCAAGCCTGGACATGAGAAGGGTTGATTGAAGCCTGTGCACCATGGGGACTGGCTGAGTGTCTGGGTGGTAGGAGCCATCAGCATAGCTCTTGTCTGCAGTTTTCTCTAGTAGTTTTTGAACTTCATAACTCTTAGGACCTGCAGAGTCCTGCAGCAGGGAGTTTCCCACCTCCCTGCCTTCACTTTGCTCTGCCTGCTGGCTCCACTCACCAGGGGTCAGCATCCAAATATAGTGCCCAGCCGGTGTACCCAGCTATTAGAGGGTGTGGGCAGAGGCACAGGGGCCATGGATGGTAGATGGGCATCACTGGGGAGGAAACTGTGGTGGAATGGATGTGGGGAGCCAGGGGAGCAGGTGGGACCTGGCACTGTTGCTGGTGATGTGCTGGTCCCCTTCCATCTTTCTGCCCTTCATACTGTCACAGGGTCTGGTCAAGGATCCCAAGCAGGACAACCCTGCATGGCTGGAGGAGGCTCAGCTGTCCTCCACCCCTGGCCACCACAGCATAATAGCAGCCTGCAAACACAGCAGCAGCTGGGTCAGGAGAAGGTTGTTTCTTGCTGGGGACATGGAAAATAGCATGGTTGGTGCCAGAGCAATCCTGGGACCACACTGCCCACCAGAACAGGCGACCTGTGGATCCTCTGATCCATCCCCAGCTAGCTTTGCCCATAGCACAGATGTCCCCTCACTTCTGCCACCCTGCAGAGCATCAGTGCTGACATCCTCCTGCTGTCTGGGGACCACAGGGGGACAGCTGAGAGTCCAGTCATGTCTGCAGAGTCCTGCTCAAAGCAGGGTCCTAGGCCCTCCTGAGGGCTAGAAGATGCCCCTTACCCGCACCTCCCCTGCGTAGTGAGCAAAGGGGGGACCTGCATCCAGGGAATCTGTGCTTGTCACCGAAGTGGTACTTCTGGAGGTGGGGCTAGGAGTTTCCCTGTGTTTGCTTCCCCCTTCCCGTCCATCCCAGCCCCATGTGGGGTTTTCCTGGCCCCAGCACTAACCAGAATGCCCCCTTTTGCAGTTCAGAGGTGGTCCCCAGAAGTACGAAGTGACAGGCTGGCTGCAGATCCAGGGCGTGCGGGAGACAGACGAAGGCACCTACCGCTGCTTCGCCAGGAACAGGGTCGGGGAGGCGATGGCGTTAGCCAGCCTGACCGTCCTCACGCCAGGTGAGCACCATTCCCTGTCCCCGCGCTCTCACAGGGATGGAGAGAGGATGTTTGGGCAGGGTGCACTGGTGTGGTGGGAGCTGCTGGAGCACAGGGCTGTGCATGCAGGCTGCTGTGCATGGTTTGGGTTTGATTCTGGTGGGAATGGGGACGGGCACTGCAGGGGTCAGTGTCACATTGTCCCATGTTGCCGTTTCAGACCAGCTCAACTTGACAGGCTTTTCCCTGCCGAAGCCTCACAACACACCAGAGGACTATGGAGAGAGCGAGGAGGACTATTACTAGCCCGGAGGTGGATGTCTGGCTGCAGAGATCACCTTGCCCACAGTGGCCATTCCCAGGGGTGGGACATCTCCAGAGCAAGCACATCTCAGCCCAAAACTCCTTCTCTGAACAGTCCTGGCACAGCAGCCTCTTTTGCTGGGGTGGGGACAGGGTGACACATCCCTTTGCTGGGGTGCTCAGGAAGGGGATGCTGGCTGGTTGGTGGCACAGGGCTGGGACCAGGGGTGGGTCTGCCCTCCAGCACTGAGCGGGGACAGGGTGGCAGGTGGGATGCTGTGGGGACAGCCATGCTGTGTGTGATGAGGACTTGGTGCTGGGGGTGGAGGCACCCCCCATGGGAGAGGGAAGCCAGGGCGAGGGCATTACTGCCCTGTGTGGAGCATTTTGGGGAAACCAGAGCGGAGGGATGGGACCTGGCTGGGACACCCAGTGCTTCAACCCCACATCCCCCAAGCACAGGGACAGCCAGGCTTCTCCCATGGATCCAGGGAACCTGCTGCCAAAACATCCTTCTCTTCTGTTTTGTTTTTAGCCAGAAAAATAGTGATTTGAGGAAATGAGACACTTGTGGTTTTCAGTGCTGTCTTTTCTCCAGCCCAGCTGCCCATGTGGTCAGGAACACACTGGCCTTTTTCAACTGACTTTGTTCTTTCCCTTCCACATAGCTCTCTATTTTGCTATTTCAGTTAACGTTAGTTAAATACACATGTGAGTCAAAGCCAGCACAGACCAGCTGACAGTCCCCTGCATCCCCAAAGATTATTCTGGAGCTGAGGCATGGTGCAAACACTGTGACTGATACCTTGTCCATTGTGGGGGTGCTTGGATTGAGGAGCCCTCCTGCCCATCCCGCTGCTCACAGCTGGTCCCAGTGTGGGTCCTGCCCCTTTTACCCCACATGGGTATCCCCAGCAGTCCAACCCCTGTGCCATGGGGATGCATCAAGCTGGCTCATTGCACCCCCATCAGTTTGGGTCCCATCCCACCTTGGTCCATTTTCATCTTGGAGTCCTGTCCCCCGTGACACCAGGCCTTCATCCAGGTGGCCACAGCATGGATGGGGCAGAGCAGCTCTGTGCCTGGTCTGGTGATTTAGAACAAACTGTCGTGGTGGGAAGGAAGCCTGAAGATGCTCCATGCTGGAGAGGGCTGTCAGGACCTCTTCCAATGCACAACCTGGGGTTGAGCTCACACTCAAGGGGAGCTTTGCCCCCCAAACCAGCAGTGTTTACAAGACTTCTGGGATTCGAAACTTCCCTGTGGACTAAACTGCTCCTGGTCCCAGCTCCAGGGAGGTCCAGAGCTGTGGCAAGGAGCCAGACACTGGGAGGAAGGAGCTGGCCAGCCCCAAGGCAGGAGCAGGCAGGATGCAATGAGGCTGGCGGCTCGGGCGCCGGGCTGTTCTCCTTGCCTTGTCTTTTCTTTTCTTCTGGTCATCTTTCTCTGGAGAGCTGGCTCAGACGATGCAATTACAGCGTCAAAACCTGAACACAAGCAAATAAAAGGGGTTTGTCTGGAGTTGGCAGCAGAGCAGAATTCCTGCAGCCGGTGAGGCTGGGCCAGCCCGGGCCCCTGTGTTGCAGCTTGATGGGGCACAGCCGGCAGCACTGCTGCCCTGCCTGCCTGTTCTCTTTGGGAGCAAGCCCACTCTCAGCTGTGGAAACGCACAAGGCACTAGTGCCTCCGTTTCTCTTGCCATCTAACAGCACAATAGCATCCTCCTGGGGCTCCTACGTTAGAGGGTGTTCAGGAGCAACCAGGGACAGAAATGTGCTGTTGGCTTTTATTGTGCTTTTTGGGGGGCTCAAAACCTGCTTTTGGGAGAGCCGGAGCATTTTCACCCATCCTGATTCCCCTCCCTGTTTCACACACAAACGGGTTGGTGGAACTGGGCCATGATGAGGCTGCCACGGGGAAACCTGAGAGCGTCCGGGAGCTTCAGCATCGAGAGCTGCTCGTTGGGCTCCCTGCTGGTGCCCAGGGCTGGCCCCTGGCCAGGGCTGCCATGCCAACCCTCCCCGGAGCCAGGCTCACCCTGCTTGCATCGGCACAAAGCCAGGTTGTGACGGATGTGAGTGCAGTGCTGGGCTGGCTGGGGGGTGTTGCACCCCCAAACCTGGCTCTCCGTGTGCTCTGCAGTGCGATGCCCTACCTGGGCACGTGTGGGCATCTGCATTTTGGTCTCAGTCCTCCCCTCCTCTAAGCTCCACACACGGTCCCTGTGGTACCCCACAGGTATCTGGCAGGAGATGCTGTTGGCTCGTATTCCTGCCCTGTAGGGAGGGCAGTGGGGACATGGTGGTTGAGAGAGTGAGGAGTTTGAACAAGAGCCCTTGGTCAAAATTAACCAAACTGGGGGTTATGTCACCCAGTTTGCTCAGATCCTGGTGCAACAGAGGGCTGTTTGAGTTGCAGGCTTGCAGATTGGCCAGTATTGGGACTTTACTCCCCCCAAAACAAGGGGCAGCAGAATGGCTCCAGGGTCAAGGTGGGGGCTGGTGTTCCTCTAGCCCAGCTCCCAGTCTTGCCATTTCCAGCCACTTAAAAATTAAAGGAGCCAATATTGCTGCACAGCTGGAATCGGTCACTGCCACGGAGCTTAATTGAGGTTATTTGTTGGCTCTAAAAATGTTTGGTCAGCTCTGCTGCTGGTTGCTCTGATGCTTCCCACAGCCCCTGCCCTGAGGAAAGCATCCCCCGGGCTCTGCAGATGCTCTTCTCAGCTCCAGGCACATGGAGGGTCCCAAGACCCAGCCAAACCTTGAGTAAGTGTGGGGACAGAGTGCCCTGATGACATGCAGCACCAAGTCCCTTTGCCAGCCAATCTTTGGGGTGGTTGCTTTCTGCTGGTGGAGGGGGCCAAGCAGACCCTGCCAGCCCAGCTGCCCAAGCTCAGAACAGCCCCTCAGCCTAGATATTGGGTTGACATCAGGGATGGAGGCAGCTGGACTATGCAGCATCAATGTGACCACCAGCCATGGGCACACATCACCCCCCCCTGTTCCAAGACAGCTGCTTTCTGCCCCAAATCTGCTGGTGGGATCTTGGCTCTTCCCATTGCACTTCAGTGATGGGGCACCATCCTGGTCCCCAGACCACTCCAGGGACCACTGTGAGCCAGGAGGCCACCGAGTTGGTCAGCGGCTGACCCAGTGATGACACCAGGGTGCCCTGCTCCCCTGAACAGCCGACCTGGCACCCCCGGTGCCTCCCTCATCCTTGCAGCTCCCGGTGCTGCCCAGAGCAGCCGGCACCCCGAGCAGCCGCCAAGCCACAGGGTGTTATGGTCTGCAGGGAAACCCCACCAGTTCTGGCAGGTAAACACGACCCAGCAGCAAAACCACGTCCCCAGCCAGTCCTTTCCTGCTCACGGGCCGCATCCGCGCCTCCATCCTCCCGGTCCAATTTGGGTGATTAGCCGCTAAACAGTGCCATCTCCTGGCAAGGCCACCGGCCACGCAGAGCCCTGCCACCGTGTTGGGCACATGGGACCCTGGGCACCCCTGGAGCACCCCGATTTCACCGGATTCATCCCCGCCTGCTCCATGCCCTCCCGTGCCCCTAGCACTGCCTTGCTGGGAAGGGTGGTGTCATTGCAAGGGACATGGGTGCTAAACTGGCCCTTGGGTTGATCACAGGAGCCAGAGCATCCTCTTGACAGCAGCTTTGGGTGGCTGTGGCAAGCTGGGATGTGGCAGAGCCTGGAGATGTTCAGCTGCTGTCCTTTGGGGGTGTGCTTTAAACCGGGGTTGCAAAAGGGTCAGTACCCTCTTGGCCACACTGCCGATGCTGTGGGTATCCACCATGGGAGTTTGATGGCTTCTGGCAGGGGTCTGGGCCAGCCTGAGATGAATGCTGGTCATACCTGCATTAACCTCACTCTTCTATCAGGTAAACTGAGGCACAGAGCCACCAGGCGTTGGGAATTCAACCAGAGCCAGAGAGATGAGCAGGACAGAGCAGTCAGCTGCACCCAGGACTTTGCCCCCAACCTGACCCCATCCTGAGGTGGGAGGATATTTCCCTTTGCATGGCACATCTTCATCCTGCTGTGCCGGCTCAGGGAGAAAATAAAAGGAGCAAGACTGGTTCCCTTCCTCCACCCAGCACTTATGCCATCTGATAAACAAAATGGAAATAAATCCTCCTGCATTTGCAGCAAATAGGTCTCCATGGGGGGTTGCTTTCAATAATTCAAATGCTGTTGCAGAGCAGAGCCCACGCCAATGGGTTTTAATAAACACAGCCATAATGTGACATGCAATTTATTATTAAGCTTAAAACAGGAAGCAAACAGTTTAATAAAAACACCAGGTTCCCCGTATCAGTCACAGCAAGTGGCGGGGTGCTAGCTGGGGGGGGAGGCTGGCTGAGCTGGCTGAAGGGACACGCTGAGCTGGGCTTGTTTTGCCATCTGCCCCCCAAGCTAGGGCCACAGGGACCGCAGGCAGGGCATGGAGATGTGATCTAGATGGGGGGAAATGGGGATTATTACATGGGGAGGGGTAAGGCATGAAATGCTGCCTGCACCCTGCCTGCTGCACATCCTACAGCTGCCCAGCCACCCAGGGCAGCTTTGGCAGAGCTCAGCCCTGGCATCATAGTGTGCTTTTAAGGGCAGGTTAATGCCTTTCTTTTAGTCCCTCTTCCCCAGGACATTCTCACCCACATCCTAACTCAGCTCCATCTGGGCAGTCCCATCCTGCCCCACACTTGCTGCCCCTGGGCTGTCTGTAGAAGCAAGCAGAGGGGGCAGCTGAGTCTCCTGTGGATACTGTGGCTGTGCAAGGTGAGGTGCTGTAAGGTGTGGGGTACAGGAGCTGGTGGCTGGTGCTGAAGGAAGCATGCATGCTGCTCACTGGGATGCATGGGTGTGCTTCAAGACATGGTTCTGCCTAATGCCTGGTGAAAAGCAGGATGTGGGGAGGTTGCTCAGCTGAGGGATGGAGCTGGGGTATGAGGTAGCTGGTCCACCTCTGTGCACAGATGAGGGGAGAAGGAGGTGCAGCATCCCACATTCATCACCCAGCAGGAGCTGGGCACTGCTTTCCCACTGTCCCTGCTGTAAGCCTCCCTGGGTACTTGAATGCTGAAGTTTTCACCAGGGATGTGGCTTTTTGACCTCCTTTCCTCTGTCTTGAATCCTAGAAGCATCCTTTCTGTTTGGAATGGGTCCTGGCAAACCCCACTACCCACTCCAGCAGAGACCAACACAGCAGCTGTAAGGGGGTGCGAAAAGTGGTGCAGGGACTACCCATGTGGGTTCCCAATGGAAACTGGGATTGTATGACTTCCCTGTGCTCTGGCTTGAGGAAATGGCCTCAAGGAGCAGCAGTTCCCAGCATGCAAGCTTTGCTCATATTATATCAGACATCAGAGAGTCCCTTCTGCACCAAGACTGTGGGAGATACGGGCTTTGTCCCAGTCCAGCCAAATGACAGCTTGGGGGGGCTGAGCCAGGGGCACCAAGGCACCTGCAGCTCCTTCCAGCAGTGAGCAGCCTCCTATCTTAAGGAGGGCTTTCCAGCCAGATAAAGCCACACAGGCAGCTCTCTGGGGTCCTGCAGCCTGGCTGAAGTGCTGGCAGAGCTGTGTGTGGGGCAGTTTTGTGGGCTCTTTAGCTGGTGTTGACAGCGGAGGGTTCATGCTGGGATTGATGCTGGGATAACACACTCTGGCTTCTTCCAGCACTGGTGCCTGGTGGAGTTTGTGAAATGCTCTAACCTGATACTGCTCTTTTTCTCAGTTGTGTTTGCTGAAAGCTCTGCTAGCTCTGCCTTTAAAATCCCAAGGGCTGCCAATGAGACTTTATGTGTGTCCACTACCAAGGCTGTGAGTGGGATGTTGAACCTGGACCCAGTGAAGGGACATGGTATCTTGCCTGTCCCCTTGAGGTGATGATCCCTGTGCAGGGCTGTCAGGATGCATCAAGCATCATCCCAAGGAGGGCTGGAGGGCCCCCACAGCTCTCCACATAGAGTGGAGTCTTGCAGTGCAGGTGGCTTTTTGACCTTCACCCATGGTCAGCTGGAGAAAAAGACCTGCCCCTGGTGGTATATGAGGATGGTATGGACACAGTCCTGGTGGTATCTCAGATCTTGTGTGCATCAGATGTCCTGGGTCTGCTCCCCATGCCCAGCACTGCTCCCTTTGGGTTGGGCTTTCCCCTCTGCATGGGGCTGAAGTGTGGGACTGGGGTCTGACCCCATGGGGAGAGAGGAGGATGAGCTGGAGCAGTCAAATAACCTGTGCCAGGACACAACCTGCAGAGAGCACAGGTACGCTTCAGAGAGCGCCTGGGGCGTGTTATCTCGGAAGCAAGGAGGTGCTCAGCGGGGCCCTGCCTTATCGGAGCCCTGGTTGCTGTCTCTCCTCGCAGCCCTTTCTGCCCCAGGGCTGCTCTCTGTCACTTCTCTGCTCTGTAACAGCCGGAGGCAGGCGGAAATGGGAGCCCCTGTGCCTGGTCCCTGCCAGAGCGCACTGTTTCGGAAGTGGGGGGGTATCTGGCTTGCAATTACTGTGCCTTTGGCTTGGCAGGCCTGGAAGTGTGAGTGATGGGGTCTCTGCGGAGCAGCCCTTGAGCTCCAGTGGGTTGGGGAGTGCTCGGACCCATCAGCAGCTTCCTCAGCTGCCTGTGCTCAGTGGTTTGGGAAGAGCAGTTTTATGCCACTGGTGAGACCCCCCAAAATTCACCTGGCTAGATGTCTGCATCCAAAGCACAGCTACTGAGCCTTCCCTTTTAATAACCTCTCTCTTCCAGCCATGGCTGGGATGAGAGGTAGAAGCAGTGGGATACTCACGTCTCCCCATCCATCCTACCCACTTTGCAGCTGCATGTTGCTGTATATGGTGAGGGCTGGGGCAGCAGTTCAGCATCTCTCCAGGACATCTGCTAGAGCCAGACCTTCCCTACCAGGAGAGCTCAGGTAGGGAGGAAAAAACAGGAAAACCCCAACCCTATTATTGCATCTTGGCTAGGGAGTGGGATCACTTGAGACACCTGGTCTGGCATGTCCTGCAGGTACAGCTGTAGCCAGTGGATTGAAGCCCCTGTGTCTGTAGATAGCAAACCATCAGCACTGGGTTGCTTCTGCTGCAAGATGCAAGTGGCAGCTCCCCCACAGGCACTTTGGGAAGGAGGATGCTGCCTGTCCTGCCCAAGGATGGAAGAGCCGGAAAGGAGTGCTGTTGATTCCAGTTTAACAGAGCTCACTTTAAACAGTGGGGAGAGGGCCAAAACCACCAAGCACATTAGGATGGTGTCCTCAGGAGTCGTCCCAAGCTCCGGGTCTCTCCCACTGCCAGATTGCCTTGGCCTTGGGAAAGGAAGGGTTAAGCTGCAGGTCTCAGCAAGTGTTCTCCAAAAAGCCAGCCAAGCTACCCAAATGATGGCCTCCCCTCTGCCCCCACCCTTATCCATCTCTCTTATCTGCCCTGGGCAAGAGCAGGGCATTTCCCCTCCTCAGCCTGACAAGGACCAGAGCTGGGACAGGCGGATGCTGGTGATGGTTGTGCACAGGGCTCAAGGAGGCCATGGCCGTGGTGTCCTGGCTGGGGGGTGGCCTCTGTAGGTGCAGATCAGATGTGAAGGGGTGGTATGGTCCACTATGGGGCTGCACTGAGCGAGGGGGTCCCCTGTCCCTGGCTCTCTCATACCCAGGTGACCTCCAGAGGAACCTCATTTCTGCAGTATGCATATAATGAGCTGCTGGGTCTCAACTCCTCTGGGGAGCAGGGCTCACATTGCAGGGGATGGCAGCTCTGCAAGGTATCCTCTGAGAACTGATAGGTATCAGTACTGATATCAATGGTACTGATACCAGTATCCTCTGGGCAGTGATATCTGAAGGCATGGCAGCCTGGTTTGGGGTGGCACTGTGCAGTCCATGGACTTGGCTCTGCCTGTGCTGCGGGTGTGGATGGAAGGGGGCTTCCAAGCAGCCTAGATAGGAGTGTTTCACCCAGTGAGGGCTGCAGCGTGAGCAAGGTGCCAGGGCTTCTCCGGCAGCGTGGTGAGCTCTGCCGACGTGAGGCAGGCGGGGATGGGCTGTTTAATTAAATGTGAAGGGCACTTGCACTTCACAAGCTGCGGCCCTCACCACAGCCTGAGCGACTTTGGGAAAGAGGCCTTTTATTAAAAGAGAGAGAGGCTCCTGCTCTGCCAGGCAGCCATCAAATGGCACATTTAATTGTCTCGGCTCGTTTAGCTGTCGCAAAGGGAGGGACACACTGAGCTCTTCAGCCTTCCCTATACATCCTCCCAGGCAGGCACATGTGCTGCCTGCATCTCGGGTGCTCCCACTGCCCTCCGGGAAGGAAGATGAGCCTCCATTCAAGACCAGCACTGGGAGCCTGCCAGGGAGTTGGCAGAGCCCTGACCAGCTCAGTGCACTGATGACCCAGCCTGCCCGGGGCTGAGCACTAGGGTTTGAAAGGGCTTGGAAAAGCAGCTGGGGAAGTAGGAGTCTCCTGGGTTCATGGGAGCCGTCTGGAAGGCAGGGGGTAACTAAATGGCAGCTTTAAAGTACCTTCTCATGTATTCCCATGGTATAAATGAGGCAGAACATGGCTGGCTCTGAAGAGGTTATCCTACCCTGGTTGCAATGGGGCAACCTCAGTGTGTAAGACACAGGGGTAGGATGGCAGTGGGTTAGGATAATTGTGCTGCTCCTCTCCTCTAGGAACTTAAGCCCCTGGAAGTATCTTCTGAGCTCTGCACTATCCCAGTAGAGGCAAGCTGGCCTGTTCAGGGTGCACATGGAGGGAGAAAGGACATTTGGGTGGCTTTGCTTTAAATCTGCTGGATTACGTGGAAAGACTGAACTTGGGTTCAGATGCTGGTACCAAGCCTATTGCCCTGGGGGAGAGGCTGTTTGGCTGAGTGAGGGGAGATGCCCCTGCTGGGAGTCACAGCCTTTCCCTTGGCTGTGCGGGAGCAGCCACGCTAAAGCTCACCATTTGGAGATGGGCAAGAAAAAAAGATGAAGAGGGGGAGGAAATACAGGCTTTTATCAAAACCTCCTACTTCAAAGTTGTCCAGCTGAAGTGCTCCCCTTTGGTTTAATTTAAAGTGATGTTTCCTTCAGCAACTGCAGCTAAATGGCATCAAACGAGGCCGAAACAGGCGGAAAGCCTGGAAAAGAAAGGCAACATTTGGGAACGG